TGAATTAGTGCACAATACTACAGAATTTCTTTCTTTTTCTGGTAAATTCCGAACAGTAAAACATTTCCATCGAACGTACGCGTGAAACGATTCTCAACCGAACGAATCCATGATGTCACAGAACGCGACATCGACGTTCACTTTCCCGTAGATCGGTGAACAAAGATCCAATGAATGACTGAATTAATGAACGCCTATGGTTATTAACGAAGCGAATTCGCGGCGAGCTGCGCGGTAACAATCGGAAGGGACGAACGGGCAGGGGGCGGAGGCCGGCACAGCGGAACACCGGATATCCGTTTCGACGGGAACTCGTCTCTCCGTTCGTTTTACCTGATGTGCACACACGCAGCTGCGTGCAGGACAAAGGGCCACGACACTACGTCGCGTCGCATCGAAATTCGCTCGGGTCGGACAGTCGGTTTCTGTTCTGGTGCGAGCCGCGTTTGAAGCAGCGCGGAAAGTTCGCGTGTTACGATGCCAGTGCGAGATGTTCGCGGTGAAGATCGTTTATTGCCAGGTGACAATGGAGTTCGCCGAGAACGCCAGGTATTTTTTAATTACACGGATTTAATCCTCGAAATACTTTCTCGAGAATTTCTCGACTGGCCTTAGGGATATTTTTTCACGCTAGAACCACTGAGAGCTTCTTCTTTCACGAACAATGATGGTTTACTGGGGGATGATACGTTGATTAATGAACTAAGATATGAATCCATTGATCGTTTGATAATTGCGGTTTTATAGTTTGCATGGGGGACTAGGGTAATTGATGCATTTGATTAGAGATGATGTACTGAATTATTGACAGGTTATTCCTGTCGCGTTAAGCCTGTGAATTTCGATTAATAATTTTATTAACGACAAATCCACTTTGATCAATTGGCGCTGGAATTATCGAACAGGCGCGGCGACATCGGCAACCATAGAGACGCGTTAGGATAACGCGATGATATATTAGGCAAACGATCCATCAGCAATTCTGCGACCATCGTAAGCTTCTTGTCGCTAAATTACGTGCTCAAGTAGAACTCCAAACTCTCGCTCGTCGCGTTATCAGCATCCTTGCTCCAGAAACACGTTAAGTTGGAGGACACTTAAGGCTGAGCACTCGACATTCAATTTTCCAGTGTTTACGCTTGCACCTTAAAACACCGTGTTCCCGAAGGAAACAATAAAACATCGAGCACACAAAGTGGTGTCATTGAGTCTGTAAAAAAGACACGCTAATAGCACCTCGCTCGAATCATTTTGCATGCATTTCAATATGATTAAGCAACACGGGGAATACATTAGTTTTTCTTCGAGCGATAATTCATCGCACGAAAAAAGCTAATGAAAACGAAACAGTTTCCTTATCTGATTTCGTTCGCAAACTACGATCGCTTTCCGTTCGAATGATTCTGTTCCCGAGTCGACACCGCCGTAATACTTATTTTTAAACGATCCTCGAACCGTCGAAAGCCGCGCCGAACGAAAGTTGGCGAACAATTTCGAACAATCGAACGGTCCGATTCGCCGGGGAAAGTAGGGGGGAAATTGTATATTGGTTTTTAGGGCAGAAGTTTTTCCATCGATGGAACCTCGCGCCGGATATCGGCGGACATGTTGGCCGTTAAACGATTATTCCCAGCAGGAAACGAGGCGGATTTTTCTGATCGAAAGACGAATCTGGATTTCGCCGCGTCTAAATCCAGGAATTTCTTTCCTTCGGCGCGCAACCGTTCATAAAATATTCATTGAATCAATTTAAATTCGAATTCCGAGGCATCTCTGCACGCTCGTTAAATTCTTCGTGCCCGTTAAAGAACAAAAGAGAGAAACACGGAGGATAGAACGAAACAGATGGAAAAAGAAACATGACGGCTATCATAATCCGGAGAAGAGTTATTCGGGATGAAGAAACTTTAGATCGTTCCACTGACAATGAAAATAATCAGCGCGGGCAAATTACGGAGGCACATCGCGCGCATGTATGTTTCTTACAAGTTATGATTATTGTTGTTGTTATTATTATTGTTAAACGAAACTGCCCGCGCGCCGTTTTTCACCGGTGTCTCTCTTGCGCGCTGAAAGTATCCGCGAGACTTTCTACTCAATTTTTCTGCTTTTACTGCTTGTAATGCGATTTGTAATTTCGATAGAACGCGAAGTTCTGTGCCTTCGATTAGGCCAATTTCGTAATTGGTTAGAGATAATAATTGCGCATAATAATTACATAAATCTCAGCATTACTAGTATATTTCACTTTCTTGGTTAGAAATGGAAATTAACAAAATATGTTTTCTCCATTTGAATCGAGATTAAATACTATTTTTCTCTTTTGAATATTCAGTTAATTATCAGTTATTACATTCCGGTTAATTATTCAGCGTACTAAAGCTTCAACCAGGATAGTCAAAGAAATCGCGATGTAAGGGATCGAACAGTGCGCAAGGGTTGCTATTTCAATTCCACCTTTAAACCCAACACGACTACTCCATCAACGACGGGAAACTTCGGAAAATCCGAGCAAAGCCCAGATGCTCGACTCGTCATCCGTTTACATGGAATGCCTCCTGTGAGAACAGGAACCGCGGCGCCATTGTGCAACATCCCGTGTCCCTGTTTCCTGACCTTCCCGAACCAAGCGCGGAACAAACCGGCGTCCGCTTTCCACGTTTTTTGCCCAGGAAACTCGCAAAAAACCGACGTCACGCGATTTTTCGTTTCCTCGAGACAACTTTCCACCGGCCGCCATTGTGTTCACCCTCGGCCCGCGAAGGATGGACGTTCGAACGAGACCGCGGCGAAACAAAACCGCCGGGATCGATCGTCCGCGGAACGTTTACTACCTTCGGAACCAATTTGCGGTCGGCCGAAGATTTCCATTTACGCAATAATGAGCCCTCGTTACGGCCGTCTAACGCATTTTCGCGTATTTGCTCGTGCCCCCCGCGTTTCCCTCGTTTTCCCCGTGTTCCGCGGCCGCCGCGTTACGTAAAGGAGGATCCGCGAAGCGTGGAAATATTAGAATTGATGACCACATTGGGTAAGAGTCCGAGTTTCTCGATCGAATACGGGAATCCGGGACCCAGACAATCCGCGACGAATCGCGCTCGCTCGTGCCCGCGTGTCTCCATTTTCTACTTTTACCTTGATGCGACGCCGCTCGAGCGTGCGATCGAAAAACAGTTTCATTATCCTGCTTTCTGGCGGACCGAGATCGCGTCTCATTTTTACCGTGTGTTCCTTTTATCATTCTCCGTCGTCCGATTGTAGACGTTTCACTATTCCCGGGGACGTCTCGAGAACGGTCCCGTCGTTCATACGTTACGATTACCTTCGTATCTCGCCTTTCTTTTCCTTTGTGGAAAGGATAACACAATTTTGAAGCGGCGCACGAAGTTTCCTTCCGCGCTCGTTTCGTTACATAAATCTCACGCGAAGTTTCCTCGAATATTTCTTTGTTTCCTGTCGCGTTCGCGGGATCAGACGCGAAGCTTCGGGGGAATACGTTCGTGCGCGGGGAATCCGGCGAATATTTTCTGTACGAATGGCCGAATTTATAAAGGAAACTTGCAGACGAGGAGCTTGATTTATTTGGATAAATACAATCCTTCTGCCGTATGAATAATTCAGAGGAAAGTAGACAGACTTTGAAGGTAATAGAAAAGTGTGAAAGTTATTAGGTAGTCCAATACGAAGTGGATCTATTATCAATCGCACATCAATCGTTCGAGTGATTAGTTATATGTTGCATTGTATTCTACGCAAAAATGCATACAAGCAACTGATGCATATTTCAATTAATAATTAAGAATTTATTAAATTAAAAGACTAATTTCTCTGTTTCTTCGGATAACTCGATACACGATTAAATAAAAAAGAAACTAAAGAAGGAATAATACGAATAGAAAAGATGAAGGGAGAGAGAACACAGATAAAAAAGAAAGTAAACGAGAAATAAATAAAACGCAGTCCGAGTGACGAAACTGCGGACGATTCGCGTGTAGCGACGAACGATCGGCAATCCGCGGGTAAAATTTTCCAGTCCGCGGTCTGCTCACCGCAGCTTCCTCGATCTCTTCCGGTGCTCGAGGTCTCCAATCGAAAGTGATTTCAATCGGTCTCGACGCGCAGCGGGCGTCAACGACCCAGGGTCACGTTACACGTGCTGCTCGGGTTACTTATCACTTTCACGAAATTAATTTCTCCGATGATAAAGCTCGAATAGATCGTCGGCCGTACGCACGCACGCACACGAGGAAGCTCCTTCCGGCGATCGAACCTGGGAGGTTCCAAACGAAAACCCGTTTACGGATAGATCGATAAAATTACCTGTACCTGAATAACAAAATCATTAAATTAATACCGTCCGCCTGGCGGATGCGTAAAAGTTTTTCCGCCGAACTTCCCGGCGACGAACTCTTCCCTTTGTTCCATCAAATCGAATTGCCGCGATTCATTCAATTAAAGGATAATTATGCGAAAACTTGTCTGCACGATGAAGAACGTAACACGACCCGCTTAAGATCCAGCGAGCCAAACGCGCGAAGAATGTCGAACGCAGTTCCATTGCACAGTCCGATGTTCTATTAAAGAAGCTGCAAACTTCTTCCGCGGCGTAAACCCTTCGATTTCCGTTGTTACGGTGCCAGTTCTGTCTTAATCTCGAATTAAGTCGGATTCCGAGTTACTTAACAACATTTCGTTATCGCGCGCGCCGAACTTTCGATCATGCTCGCCTTCTGTTGCCGTCCCGATGCAGAGTTTCCCAATAAAAAAACGGCGAGACCTTCCGGTATCGTTATCTTCCGCGTCACGCCCGCTTCGCTCCGCGAAATCTGACGTACAGCGCGTTAACCGGTGTTCCAGGATGATTGAAACACTGGAGTAGAGATAATTGGCGCTACTTCATGCCAGGGGGGGCATTGTTTAACCAGGAACGCGGCGTTCGGTATAATTGCACCGCGCGGAACCGTGCCGGCCGGAGTTGTGAATCATTTCACCTGGATTCCAGGTGAATCGAGCAAGTTTCCCGGCGAACGAGGGTTGCTCGTTGTTTCAATCGCACGCGTGTTTGTCCAACGGGGGACGGGGCGGTTCCCTCAGCAACGTGATTCATCGGAAGCGGACCGAAGAGGGGATAAAGTTGTTCGGGGATCTTTTTTTCGTTCGTTCCTCAGTCGCGCGACAGACATTTGCAACCGTGACTCGTGCACAGAATTAATCAGTGTCTTCCTATCAACCGCTGTTTTCATTTTCTCGTCGCGTCGCTCATTTTTATACGTAATCCCCGCTGGCGTCTTCACGATTTGCAAGAAGCTCGACGAAAAAGGTAATTCGCTGCGGACGCCGTTTCCCGTTCAGCGCAAGAAGTTAGACGCCGCGGGAGGCGGTCGTCCTCCGGAAGAGTTTTTCCGCGCGAGGGACGTCAAAGCGACGTCACAAGCTTGATTACCGTTTCCCTTCCGACTCGTCTTTGACCGAGAAAATTGAAAAAAAGTCGGGCCGCGCATTAAGTCGTCGGAGAAAGCGTGCGATACAAGCTGGAACGCCGGGTGAAT